TGGGTTTAAACTGCTTAGCTAATGACAGATTAACAGCTTCAGTGAAATAACTCATACTGTATATGAAAACATACAAACTGACATGTCCACATGGAAGAAAAATCTTCATGTCGTCTTACACATCTGAAGTTTGTATTGAAAGAGTGTATAGCTTTACGGTAATCAGATTGGACTGATATAGGGACTGACATTTAAAGCTAGTTCCTTTTCCAGCACTTGTCTTGTCTTTACTGACCACTCAAAGTGCTTTACAGCACAAGCCACATTCACATTCACAAACTGTAGAGCCTTTATTTATCACACTCACTCTCACTGGAGGAGCTGGGGATCAAAAGCCTTCCAATTCTGACATGACAGTCAATCTGATTGTATGGGATCCATCATTTTCTCAGCATGGTAGCCAGCAGATAGATATTTCTACAATCAAAATGTAAACAGGTGCGCAGACTTGCACACATACAAAATTATGAACATTTGCTCCCTGTATATTCAATGCCATACTGTATATACTCCATTTTCGTATCCTAGCCTTGTGCCTCCTCAATTTAGATATAAGCTACTCTGAAAGGTAAGCGTGTGTACTGTAAGGCTGTTTGTGGGGGCTCTCATAGTCCCTTTCAGGTAGCCTGGCTGGCAGGGTGAGGAGAATGAGAAAGGCTTATCGTGTAGTCAGATGCACTCTAAGGGTGACAACATGTTCCTGCTGTCCCTGGTCACCCCACCGGAGAGCATAGTGGTCTGTGACTCTGTCCCTGCAGACAGCTAAATGTCAGGGCTCCCTTCATCGGTACAGTGAACTCTGAGCATCATAACAAGCTAGGTGTGAGCTATCTCACTGCTATATTTTTTTAGTTTTTTAAAAAATTTTTTTTTTGGCTTATTTATTAAAAAAATATACATATATGTTTTACACACACCCATCAGACCTGCCTTCCCGTTATTTACATTTTTTGTCATGCAATCTCTGATACTTTGCTCATAAAATGTGATCTCTGGCCACATTTTTCCATAATTTGCTATAAACTTGTAAGGCATTTTGTCACTGTTTTATTCTTTGTGTTTTACAAAAGACTGATTCATGTAGAACTGATGTAATGGACTCAGATCCAGACATAGAAGTAGTATTTCTTTACTGAATAAAACTTTTAATTTTTTGACATTTAGAATGGATTTCACACCTAGTTTTACATTTTTATTTGTGCTTACGTGTCCATAATAACCGCAGCATCAATTGGGAGCTCCTTAAGAATCATGTAACAAAATAAAAGCACTGCTAACCTAGCAATACTAGCTGACTTCCTTTTGCTTTTATTTTAAAACAGGTGGCATCCTATCACACAGGTGAAAATTCTGATTTTCTGTGCACATACAGATATGGGATTGTTTAATGCCTTTGAAATGTCCGTCTAACATCCCAGGCTCACCCAACTATATTTATAGAACAATGTCTCCTATGTCAGGGTCCTAGTGCATAATAAAACACAGTAAATGGATCCCTGCTATGTTTAGGTGGCATGACCTCCATTAGAAGGCAGCTGCAAGCCTGAAAAAGAGAAATCATGAGCATTTATTCATGCATGCATGAACAAACATGCACATAAACACAGTCTATTGATAGAGACACACTGAGATCACGGAGATTTTTACACTGCTCTTTAAAAGTAACTGCTTATCCCTAAATATTGTATTGGGGCAAAATCAATAATTATCAGAGTCAAGATTTGCTTTTTATTTGTATTTTCTTTAATCAATGATTGTTTCAATAGTGATAAGTGAGGTTTGATCAAACAGGTGTCAGCAGTACTTGGACAATTGTCAAGTCTATATCTCTATAGCTTGCTTTCTCCTTTTCTCTGTAGCTAAAAGATACCCAGTTAAAATTCTGAGTGCATTTACAAAGCGCCGGCTTTGTCTGGTCAAAGTCCATTGTCCAAGGTCCAAAGTCCATGGTCCATGGTCCATTTGCCTCATATTTATATTTATTTATTGTGCAGCAATATTTGCTCTTAAATCTGCTTAAGCATGTTATTATTGACATTGTACAGGCAAAGCACCACTCTGGCTGAATCCAGCTTCACAGACTTATTAGTATGGCTATAGACCTTTAGGCTCAGTTTCTCAGACATGGACTAATCTTAGTCCTAGGCCTTGAACATTTTAAACAGAGGTGTTTACTGAATTTATTTGTTAGATGGGACTAATTCATGTCAGGAAAAGTTGTCGTAAATGTTGTTATTATGGCATGAAAACCAGTTTCCATGCATGTTTTACAAACATGGAAAAGAGAAAAAAACATTTCCCTTAAGCTTTCATTCATTGATTTTTATTTTTTCCTCAAAATTATAATGTTTGATCAGTTATAATAAAAACAGTCTTGTCTTTGTCGAGGAAATGAACTCAATCTTGAATTTTAGGAAAAATTTGTGTGTCTTGCTGCACATTCATGACTTATATAAGTTGTAAAATGAAGGTTACAAATACTGTAAGACATAGGTATTCTAGGGAAAACTTTATTTCATGTAAATAATATTTAAATTGTTTGATATTGGGGAAACATGGCAGTATGAAGCACAAATGCCCTTACCAATGTTTGCATTTCTTCCTTCAAAGTTTTACTTGTCCTTCTGGGTTTCAGTCTTAATGTGAGCACACAGTGGTGGCAGGGTCGGTCTAAATATAACTCCACTTGACAACAATCTGGAAAAGTAGATACCCTTTTACTTTGAAGAATTCCAATTACTGTCACTGTTTCCTCAGTGAATGTGTCTGTGTGCGCAATGCACATAAAACTGAGATGTAGTGTACATATCTGCATGCTGTGGAACTGTCTAAACACATTACAAACCTCATAACTGCTTGTGCTATTTTTGAAGAAACATTTTAACATTTTCATCCAGACTGGTGTAAATTCTATCCATAGATGTGTGCATCAGAGATTGTGTTCTCAGACATAACAATGAGAACCAGAAATAGGGATACTCTATTGCAAACAGCAGTGATTTCCAATGTTTTCTTTTCTCCTGCATCAATAAAAGTTTTTTGTGTTGTGTACAGTTAAAAGGACTCAAACTGCTGCAATGATCAGTGAATATATTACAGGTGTGTAATGGCAATGTGTGCTTAATCACACATATGTCTCATATTTCTTAGAGAAATTGTTGTTTTAGTTGTAACTGTTTATCAAAAGAAATACAGAAACAAATAACAGGACAAATCTTACATTTTCATTTTGTTTTTTTTTATGTGTTTGCTCTATGAAGCCAGCAGTTTGATATTGGTATATCTAACTTAATATGATTTGGACCAGGGATGTTTTTGGATGTGACTGTGTGATTCTGTGGAGCAGCAATTCACTGTAAACACTGGATATATTCACTGAAACATACTGAGAATAAATCAGGAAATCTACCGATTTTAGCTCCAACAAAGAAGTCAAACAGCAGTAATTTATTGTTGTAATTTAGCGAGCTTTCAGTAAAAATCTCTATCCTATCTTGTTTATATATGTAGCATCCATTCTTCTTCATTTTTATAGCCTTGCTCTTGATGTAAGTTTTGTCCAAAGACAAATTTTTATGGCCCAGTTAGAAGTGGGTGGGTAAATCACCAATCACTGCATCAATGCACAATGATTCAATTACTGAGCCAGCAGAGTGCGCAATTTATATCCAAACTCTCTGGTTTGGAAGATTGACGAGGTCACAGTACAGTTTTTAATTAACAGTTAACCTCCGCTGACCTTTGAGGTGTGATTTAGAGGCATGCCTACACACATGTTTTCATATCAGGCCCCCTTTTTGTCATGGATACATATTGGCTACGTTCATAAGTGCAGAGTTTATTAAACCATTTTTACACCATGTTCATGTAAGCTTGCTAAACACTACATACATAGTAATAAAAGCTTAAAATAGGTCAGTGATGAGAGAGAAGGAAAGGCAGGGACTCTGACAGGTAAAGGGAACTGGGTGATGTTAAATGCTGTCAGTGTGTATGCCCCACAGGTTTAATATCAGAAAGAGGAATTCTAATAAGTAAGTTGGATGAAGCAGTTGAGTGTTCCAAAGGGAGAGAGAATGGTGATTGGAGCAGACCATTCAGTTTCCTTTCACATGTAGGTTAAGGAAACAGAGGTGAGGAGATGCTGGCTGTTTGTGAACAGTTAGTGAATCAGAAAGTGCAGAGGTTTAAGGGGAGTGACAGAGAAGTATGTATGGTTGTTATAGTACAGGTATCAGGGCAGCAAGACAATGGTGAGATGTGCTAGGTGTAACAGATGGGCTCAAGGCGTGGTGGTATTATGTCAGGGATCAACTCTTATTGCCTTCTTGTTTGAACTGGTGATGGACAGGTTGACTGATGAGGTCAGTCAGGAGTTTGCATGGACAATGATGTTTGCAGATGACATTGTGATCTTTAGTCAGAGTAGGAAGCAGGTGGAACAGAGAGCCCGGAGAGGTAGAGGTATGCTCTGGAGAGGAAAGGAATGAAAGTCAAGCAAGAGATTTTGTAAATAAGAGGGAAATTGGTACAATAGAGGAGATCCAAGACGTAGAGATATATTGATAGTGGTTACACTGGACAATAAATATGGAATGAAATATGGAGCTGCCAGATGGAAGAAAAAGAGGCCACACATTCCTTTTCTTAAAGTTTTATCTAACACAGAACAAATGTTGGTCTCCTCAGTTCATCAAACATGCATATTTTATTTGACTATGCCTTGTGCTGTATATGTATATGTCATTGATGCTTGAATATAACACAGCAACCAGAATAAAAAAGCAGCCCACTTTAATACTCACACTATAAGTTAAAAGAAAATGACACTATTGATATGTACAAAATGTTGTCTTCTTTTATTTTGTTTGCAGGCAATTAAATTGTGCAGTTTCACTCTGTGAAAGACAAACACAACAATGTTACCTCATATTTTTATATTCTGACTTTGTTATTCATTATATTTCTGCATTTCTCCATGTCTCTCACCAACAAGGTTTTACTGGGATTTGACCATGCTGCTGCTGATGGTTGGAAACCTCATCATCATCCCTGTGGGCATCACCTTTTTCAAGGATGAGCACACCCCCCCGTGGATTGTGTTCAACGTTGTCTCCGACACCTTCTTCCTCATGGACCTGGTTCTTAATTTCAGGACGGGTATCGTCAAAGAAGATAACACAGAAATCATCTTAGATCCGCAGCAGATCAAGATCAAGTACTTGCGGAGCTGGTTTGTGGTCGACTTCATATCCTCCATCCCCGTAGACTACATCTTCCTCATTGTGGAGACGCGCATTGACTCGGATTTCTACAAGACGGCACGCGCCTTACGCATTGTCCGCTTTACCAAGATACTAAGCTTGCTGCGCCTCCTGCGCCTCTCTAGACTCATTCGCTACATCCACCAGTGGGAGGAGGTAAGAAATCATTTTCAGGCTGTTAAACTGTATGTGAACAGGTCTGAAGAAAGTTTCGTTTATAATGTGTATCTTGTGAACTGCTTTATATTGTTATTGAGAAGACAGTATCATTTGCAGTGATCATCATACAAGCATATTAGTTCATGAAGATAGTTAAACAGACAGGGATTCATTTCCCTAAGTTCGATTGCAATTCAGATTCTATTTCTGTCCTGGGGAGCCACTGCAAAGATGTTTGCTTCCCCTTTTCTTTCAGGAAAGAAATATAGATGGGTGCTGCGTCTGATTGCATCCACCCTTGAAAAGAGAAAAGAGGCTCTTTGCTGTGTACCAGTCACCAATAAGTTGATGAAGGCAGGATGTTGATTAGCATTTTCCCACTGTGTGCCCGTCCTAGCAGTGGAACCCCAGAGTCCAAAGAGGCAGTGCTGCAGTACAAGCATGATTATGATTGTGGCAATAATTAGAAAAGTTCCAATTACTCTCACTGGATGAATCTTCTTGTTTAGTCTCATAGGTAAAAGGTGCAAAGTGAAGCATCAGAATCTCAGCATGGAGTCAACAGGAAGACACTCTGTGCTGCTGCTCTGCATCATTGTGGAATTAGCCATGCAAAGGAATATTTCAGCTACAAGTCAGACCGTGAAATTCTAGGAACAACAACACTTAACAGATGTATTGTCTAAATGCAAGCAGTATATGTAAAGAAATAATGAAATTATCTCCACAGTACTGAAGTGTGTCTCTTTGTTTAGTTTGGGGAAATTACTTTTGTGTCCAGGTACTTTCCACTTGATCACAGAATTATTATTATTATTTTTAATTTAAAGTAAAGAAAAGTTGATAAGGCATTTTCACTGATTTAAACTCTAAATTTAGCTTGTTATGTTTAGGTTTTAAAAGTACAATTGATGTGAGAAGTTTACATCTACTCATCATCTGCATCATTGTCATGGTAATTTAATTAAGTTGTTAATTAAATTAAGTCGTTTAATAGTTTCTTTGAACTATTCTTTATCCAGGATGGAATGAGTGTACAGCATGTATCTTTAATAACAAGATTCACAAGTTTGAATTTATTTTGGATCTTTTAAATATTTTGCTGTTACCTCGACAACCATGCCCGTGATGAATATACATGAACAGCTGACCATAATAAATGTCAATATTTATAATATTTATTGTCAATGTACGCAAGTTACTGTGAAAATTCTTTTTACATATACATAAAAATTAATGCCAAAACTTTAAAAGTATTAAAATAAATCTGCTCCAGAAAAGTTAATAAAAGAACATCTTATCTTTAAGAGTTTGAATCAAAGGGAAATCCCAGCATAGTGTTTTAGTTAGGGCTACAGCGTGCCATCGGAGCAGCTTGGCAAGTTGTGGCGTCACTTCTCCAAGTTTCTAGAGCTGGAGGAAATACTGTAGCTTGTGATTACTATAATTTTCATATTCATCAAAACATTCAGCAACCGCTTGTGCTCTATGTATGGGACCAACTCCACTAGTTCTCTGTTTGGCTCGAATTCATTCAGAAATATCTGCATTTGGGCTTCAATATAAATCAATAAACAACAACAACAACAATAATAATCATAATCAACTAACTAGTGAACTAACTTGTAAATCAAAGAATGTTTCAGAAATCACCTTCTTATCCAAGATAAAATCTTGAGATCATAATTTTTATTTTTGTTTTATTGTGCATCTTTTTTTCATATTCAACTTTATTCAATACAATATTGCAAATAAACACTATTAGCTTATTTGCATAGATTGTAAAATTCACCACTGGACTGTTACTTGTTGGGTATGTTCAGCTGACTGTGTAGCAATTGGAAACGCTGAAAATGCTTATCAATCTATATCCAGACCTTTCACCATGAATTGGGAAGTTCCTGGTTTTCAAATATTTAGCTGGATAGAGCAGCTGGATAGAACAGTGTATATAAGTGTGATGACATTAATCATGCAGAGCCTCTGTGATGCCATTTCAAAGGGAGGAAAAGTTCAAATAAATCACTAGGGGAGGATTCCTTTGTCACCCTGTGTCTCTATGCATGCCTACTGCTGTGCTTCTGAACCTAAAATGAAGGCAGGAATACATGTATTACAAGCTAACCTTGATTTGAATAGCTCGGACAGTGGGCTGTTACATGTTCAGCCTATGCAATGAGATAACAGAGAAAACATGGGGTAAGAAAGGGAGGGAAGAGGGAAAAGAATAAGGAATAAAGGAGGATTGAATAAAACATCCTTCTACCTGCAGAACTTGCTTTTAGCCATGGACCACTGATGTAATGCACCACAATCTCAATCTAGGAATTTTGCATTACTGGAAGTATTGGAAAACAGACTAATGGGAGAAAAATATCCATAAGGATGTGAATGGGAAAAACTTACAAGGACTGCAGAATCTAAAACCATTGAAACAATACAACAACAAAAGGGGGCATTACACTCACAGAGCCAGTTGCCATTTAAATTTTCTGTTCCTGTGTAGGTGGTGTATGTGTGCGGATATTGTGTGTCAGCGTTTGCTGATGAATGCTAGTTAGGCAGACAGAGTGAAAGGCCAGCTTTGCCTCAGCGCCAGAGTACTCCAGATGAAATCTCACTGAAATGTCATCTGTCACTGCAGAATAACTTGTCGCCGAGATCTCACCACCCAACTGACTTTTTGACTTTTCCTATTGGCAGCTACATTTCAAACAAGGTGTATGTATTTTATCACCATTTGAATATTTTGGTAAACATCGCACTGACCTTATTCCCCCTTTGTCTATTTACCTACATATTGAACTTTAAAGACTATAAAAATGGAAAGAAGCACACTCAAACACTAACAAAACAACCACAAAAAATGTAATATTTGTCCTTGTTTACAGAATCAAGACAGAATCCTTTTGATCAATGAAAATGTGCAATTTTTGCCAATAAGTGCAATAAATGCAATTCAGCATTGCTTGGCACTCTAGATGCGGCACGATGAGATGTGTAGTAACATAGCAGAAGCTGCAGACCTGTGATGCCCCAACGTCCTCTGAAAGGCAAAGCTGATTTATTTCACTCATATTTCACAAGTGTCTGCAAGCTAGAAATAGTTCCGCACAAATTCATTTGGTTTGTTATTGTTTGAGTTTCATTTCCTCTTCTGTAAGAAGTCACGCAAAGGACATTTCTTCTGGGAAGTGCTGGATACAGCTCAGTGAACTCTACTGCATGGTTTAATGCCTTGAAGAGTGATACTGTGGGGAACAAGTTTTTAAAATTAGAATCTTTTTTCCATGTTCTGAATTGCAGTGGATGATGTTTTTTTAGGAATCAGAAGAAGACAAAGGAATATAATCATGCCAAAGGACATAAACAGCGGTACGGTTCAGGGTGGAGGAAAAAAAACAAACAAACTTTAAGTGTATTAAAAGTAAGGTGTTTTTAAGACATAAAAAATAAATGGATAAAATCTTATTCCCAGAGCTATCAGATTACTTCCAGACAAATTGCATAAAGGGACTAACTTAACTAAGTCATTTATTGCCTCACATCACCCCTTTAGGAAAAACGATTTGCTTTATTGTGACCTACACATTCTCAGCAATAGAATAAACGTCATAAGTTTGTTTCATAATCCTTTGGGGACAGTTAACTATATATGGCTCAATATCATTTGTCACAGAATCATAATTTTATAGGTGACATGGTTTCACCTCAGAGATTTAAAGAGACCAGATCTAACTGACGGTTCTTACGTGGGAAAAAATGTAATTTGTAAAGTCATCTTAGCTTTGGTTTAATTAAATTCTTAACAATTCAGGGAAATAGTTCTAACTTGCACATCCATGCATGCATGTGCAAATACATATTTGGTTTAGTATGGTGCAGTCAGTATACATAATCTGTCTATTGTGAAACTACCCCACATAGAGAGAAAAAAGCCTTTGTTTTAGGCTTCTTTATTTGTTTTATCTGATTTTATTTTTAAAGGGATTTAAATATTTGTCAATAAGTCACATTATATTTAAAAGTAATAAACCATGGATCGATATAATATTGACAATAAACCATGACTGTGTGAAATGATGTATTTCACACAGTTGCTGGTTTGTATGTCGATTGCATGTCGAAACCTGTGTTCTTTGAAATAATGTGAAATACGTGCTTTGCACTCATCAATGGAATAATTAAACTGTGAAGGAACCTGCTATACTAATTTTCTCCATTATTGTGGTCGTATTCCTGGAACATTTATGTTGCATGATTGTGCAAAACTTCATCCACTGTCCTGAACAAGCCATTTAAACTATTTGTCCATCACCATAAGCCCACTTTCATCTGATTGGCGGCCCATCATCTTCTTCAGAATTCTGCAGCATGATTACTAACAGGGACTAGATAGAAGAGCATATTTCTTGTAAATTAGCTGCGCTTCATTGCTTCCCTGTTAAATCCAGAATCCAATTTAAAATTATTCTTTTCACATAAAAGATCTTGAATAATCAGGCCCGATCTGATGTTAAAGATCTTACGGTACCATATCACCCCAGTAAAGCGCTTCGCTCTCAGACTACAGGCTTACTTGTGGTTTAAAGGGTATTAAAAAGTAGAATGGGAGGCAGAGCCTTCAGTTTTCAGCCCCCTCTTCTCTGTAACCAGTTCCCAGTTTGTATTTTTTTTTCTCTTTGGAAATACTTGTAGTTGGGGCTGGATCATGTGACCTTGAGTCTTTTCAGTGGTGTTCATGCACCACTTTGCATTTAAGCAGTAGTTGTTATTATCAGTTATTAAACCCTCTCCCCTCATCCCCAACAGGTCTTTTTCCTTCTCAGTGCCAACAAACGCTTGCTCACAGGATGCTGTCTGATTTATGTATTATTACACTTTCATCATACTGTAAAGGTGATATTACAATTACCATGTTGACAGAATACATTTTACAAACAAAAAGGTGGTAGCTACATGCCGGTGTTCAATATTCAATATAGTATGCAGATATT